TCGTTTGACCCAATACTCTTTCCTGCCATGGCAGGGGGTTGGACTTGTTGATCTGCTTCAGGCCCCTTCCAACCCTACTAACTATGAAACTAAATCTGTGGAATACAGAATGTGCTGTAAGAAGTTGCATAGTAAGGGTTAATACCATTTCTTCCCTGCACAGCTCTGACTTGCCACTAGAGGGATGGCAAGCAGGGGCGAAGGTAGAAGACAGTATACCTAAGCTCTGTCCCCACTTGCAAGGAGGGGGTAGGGTGGGTGCAGGTCGCAAAGGTGTATCCTGGGATGTTGGAGGATTGCAGATTGCTTGTTTCATCTCTGTGGAGCAAACTCAAGTTACCCTAATATGAGGTAGGTAACACGGCCCAGAGCTAATCCTCGCCTGAAGGACACTCAAAAGGAACTTAGCACGAGTTTAACAAATCTGCATTTTAAGTACACTTAGTATGGCTTAAGGGTGAAGTTACACATTACATTTAAGTTATTGTGCAGTCCTGGTGTTGCATTAATTGTTTCCAATGCTGTTGCACAGTAACCATAAGCTACTGTGCTGTAGCTCATTGCTACTGTACAGTAGGTTTGGTGTCATGGTTCGTGCCTGCCAACGCTACCTCACCGCAGTGTCATGTGTAGACATGCCCAACGACTTCAGTGGCAGTTAGGAATATTACATTTCCCAAAAAATCTGGGTTTGTCTTTTGCCTAAATTTTAATACTGCCACCACACATCTCAAATGAGGTGCTGGAATTTTTTCTTTTTTTTTTAAATGAGAGTGTTTGTTCTGTATGAGACTGGAATTAAATCTCCAGTTCTTGTCATGTAACTTACTGAACTTGCTGTAATATGATGACAACTTGCTGTCACTACCAACAGACAGGACTACAGCCTGAGAATTAAAGAACAGTTTTCCTTCTGCCGTCCACTAGAAATGAGTGGTAAGGATATGGCAGAATAAAGCCAAGAAAACGTTGGATTTTAAACACTTTCAGATGTTGTGTTCAGGCTACAAAGCACGCAGCACAAAGCAGGGGGAGGGGTGGGAGCATCAAAAAGCAGGGGGAGGGGTGGGAAGAATGATCCTTGAAAGAATAATCAAGGATACATTTCTGTATTTAGGAAATAAGAGATTAAAAGGCAGATGCGAGATCCTTTCTGCATAAAATGGTGCATTTTTAAAGAATTTCGTATGGGCCACATATAGCAAATGTCAGAGACTGTATTGGGCAAGCTGCTCTGAGTAATCAGCATACCATTTGGAAGAAACCACTACAAACAGTGTTTGTTGAGAGATACTTTTGGCACAATCAATTATTTGCTATTCAAAATACTTAAAAACGTTTCAATACATTTCAAGTTTCAATAGCACCCTTATAAGATATGAAAAAAATTATCTCCATTTTAACAAATGGCTAAACTGAAATTAGAGAGAGTTTGAAGCAAGCATTAAGCAGAAGAGCCTAAAGTCCTTAAGTCTATCTATTCTGATATTTCTATACTTAAGCACCTGTTTGATAATGAAGATTGCTAAGCATCTGATTCCCAGTTTTATCCTCATTTGCTTCCAGCTGGACATGGCCTACCATCTCAAATAAGTTCAGCTACTTTTGGTAGAATCCATTATTATCTGTTCACAAGCAATAAAAGAGGTGTGTAAAGTACAGCATTCACTGTAGCAGCATTTTTTGTAAGTAAGGACCTATTGTTTCTATACATGAAAGTGTGTGTGAATCACAGCACCAGGCCAGCCTGCAAGGACCCTAGCCAGAGACATACAGCATGATGTTCACCATGTAAACATGCAAAAATTGGAAGCAAGCAGGTCTCTACTGAGAAGAAAAAAAGCTTGATGCCGTTACACTACTGACCCCTCTACCAAGTGATAGTCATCTCATGTGAGCCTCAGGGATATAAAAACTGTTCAAGGAACGAAGAGGAAAAAGAAAGCCAGATTACTGTAAAAAATAGAATAGATTAGTGAACACAAACAACAAGCAATAAACAGAAATCAGAATAAGGTAACCACAGTATACAACTAACTGTCTTAATTCAACAGATGAAGACAGTGTCAGAAACATATACAAATTAATCTTACCTTTTCTCTCTCTGTTTCTCTTCCTAAGAAATAGCTGGCTGACTGCTAACATCTTTGATGACCGACAGAAATAGCAATCTTCTTCCAGCCTGACTGCTATCCAGACTGATGCCAGTCACTCCCTTCTTTCTATTTTCCTTTCTAAAAGTCCAGAACTTTTTTTAAATGATTTGAAATCTCTCCCTTCCCAAAATTAGGGTGTGATATACAATGGGGAAAATAATTATCTACCATTGTATCATATAAGTTTTTTAAAAATATTCCTAGCATTACCAGCATAGAACATTAAGACTCAAATCCCCACAGCAACATGCTAACCACCCGCTTCCCCCAGACTTATGGAGCTGTGGGATGTCTGCCAGTGAAATACTGAGAAATGTAAAAAAAGGCTGCAGGAACATGAATACTAAAATAAAAATCACAAAGCTGAATGTTAGAATCATAAATGTTAGAGAAAAAAACCCAGCTAATCCATCTTTATACCAGCATATGAATGTTCTCTGCACGTTATTTAGCTTGTGCTCTATCTAGTCTGATTTATCTGTCCCCTCCAGAACCTGATACAAAGCTCACTGTATTCAGTGATGATTTTTCCACTTCAGTGGATCAAGCCACAAGGCATGGGCATTCCACCACCTCTACAGTGAGAATATTCAATAATGGAGCTACTCAGACGCTTGCACTTAGACATGGGTTTCAAGTTGTTTGTTGAATGAGGACCTGTACTATATGAAGTTTTCTTCAGCCAAAGAAGTCCTTAACTTTACCCCTATACTCTCTTGTAGAGACAGCATACATAATAATCCCACTACACCACTACACTCTTTGTGTAACTTCTCCTGCATCCATCTCTCTCTTGTTCTATTATAAACCTAATTTCACATTAATTTCCTTTCCACATTCCCACTCAGATCCTGGTTTCATTTTTATTCTCTCTCCAATCCCTGTCTTTTCCTTGTCATCATCGCTCTACCTTTTTTTTTCATTGTTTGCTGCACTCTTATCACCTTCCAACTACTCCTTGTATGTCTACAACCATACCCAATATTGAGGCCCTCATAACTTCCCTAGCATTACTGAAAAAGACCCTAGCTCCAAAACCACAATGCCTCAATCACCCTATCTAGTATTTAAGATGACAGTTATTACAATTTTAAAATAAGTAGAGAAAGAACTGTGAAGAAGAGATGTGTTCAATAAACTAGAGAAATGCAGGACGGCTAGAGAATTTGAGAGGAACAGTTGCAACTCTCATACCAATAAGAGTAAGACAATGTAGAGAGAGAAAAAAAGAAGTCAGTGGCACCATAAGCACAGAGTATGTACAGAGAAAGATAGTTAGCCAAGTTCAGGGATGGATTCAGATTTGGCAAAGGAGGGTAGAGGAACATCAAACCATGTTGCACCCACAACTTCCAGCTTCTTACCCTCTACCCTGCCTCCTCACCCACTGGTGGCAGCAGACCAGCAGGGGGACCCTTCAGAACTCTTTAAAGTCCTGAATTAAATAAGAATCACCTTCCTTTCCCTCCATGGCCAGAATCAGGTCCTCTCCCGTCCTTCTGCTGCTGCTGCTTTTCCCGCTGTCCCAGGGCAGTGGAGACTTCAGAGCAACTCCTACCTGCTCCAGCCATGCTGTATAGCAGCTGGGCTCAGTTGGGAATGCAACAGGACATTGGGAGGAACAGGCTCAGGAAAAGGGACCCCCCCCCCCATTGCCACTGTTGCTGACATTCTTGAGCCCAGCCCCTATGCAGCCTAGCTGGAGCAGGCAGGAATGGCTCTAAAGCTTCTTTAGTCTCTGGGACATCAGGGAAAGCAGTAGTGGCAGGAGGAGGAAAGGAAACAGGGGAAGGGATATATGCCTGAGCATAGAGGGAAAGGGAAGGGAGCAGGGATTTTTACCTGCTGTGGGGATTTTTAAAAAGTACTGAGGCTCCTTAGTGTGGTCCAGTCTGAAAGGGAGTAACAGCTGCATCACTGCACCTCCTCCCCACCCTGCCAGTGTTAATTTAAAATCAGACACAAGGCAAGGTAGAGGTGCACCTTACAGATTAACTAAATCAGAGATTTCATAGACGTTTGGGCTGGAAGGGACCCTGGAGGAGCATCAAGTCCAGCCCCCAAAGTTGCTCTGAAGCATCAATGATTTGTCACTGTGGGGCAGGCTACTGATTTTCTGGCGGGAGGGTTTATCCGGTCTGGGAATTTGTGTGAGATGCTTAAGCTTTTGTGAGCAACAGATCAGATCAAACAAAGTGAACTGTGGCTCAGGAATGCTTATGCATCTCTGACTGAGAACAGGGATAGAGGAAAGATATGCAATGGATGGCAGAGTTTGTTCACAGGTGAGCACTTGAGATTTGGTGATGCAATGGAGGAAGTATAATAGCCAAACTGAAAGAAGATACAGGTGTGTCTATGCAGTTTTAAAATACTAGAGCCCACATTTTTCAGGGGAAGAGAGAGGCGTTAAGCAATAAGAAAAAATCTCTTTGGAAAGCATGAGAATCTGCATGACAAACAGTAGAGTCACTGAGAGTAACAACCTATTGTAAAAACCACACTCTTTACATTATGTACAAACACAGCCCAGTGCTTGGTGGAGAGTTCAAGTCAGTACTAAATGAGGGCCAAGCTGTACTTCCCGAGTTATTGTCTCAGGCACAGAAGCAAGTTCCTTTAGATAAGAAACTAGAGTCCTTATTTAAAAAGGAAACAAAGCAGTGCCATAGAAGATTCTACAATAACATCTCTAAGCAAAGCTATAACTTTTGGATCAATCACCACAAACTACTCTAGTATGAGTAGATTTCTATGTAAAGGAAGGGTTGATGAAGGCACTTCAGCAATAGGACACTAGCTGCTTTGGCAAAGCAACTTAATTACAGAACTGAATGCTTTAATAGGTTTTCCCTCCCTGACTGATATGGTTTACCTAGTCCACATGATCAGGATCAGTTTTCTACCCTTCGGGTGCATCTACATGAGATGCTTATTGCAGTTGCCTAATTAGCTCCACAGTAAAGCATCACCATCCACATGAGCATTGCTATTAGGCCAGAGTAAACAAACTAACTCCACTGTAGGATCATATAGCCCAATGCAAGTACTATTTTATGGCAGAGTTATTTACTCCGCCACAACACACATGGTAGACTATGACCTGGGCTGGCTGGGGCCCTCAAGGTATTAGTCAGAGCTGCTTGGCTAGCTCCCACTGTAGCACTCTCATGCCCAACCAGCCCCTATGCAGCACACTGAGTCAGGCAGGAGCAGCCTCAGGCTGGCAGGCTGACCCTCTAGGCCTTCTGCCAACCAGGGCTGCACCACTCTGGCTCAATATGCTGTGGCCCAGACACATGTGTAAATACTGCACCAGGGAGCAATAAACTCTGGTGCAAACTGTGCTGGAGTTTATTGAATTGAATTAATTTCATGTATTCGACAGCCTCAGTTTTTGAAACTGCAAGATGAACAAAATAATTCTGGAAAAGGTGTTCTTCTATGTGAGTGAATATGCTGGGCAAATTTGTTTGCAACAACAAACTTCTGAAGGATGCTCTTTTTTCTTTCTTTATTTGCCGAGATAAATACAAGAAAAAATGCTGACCAGTCATGACCAGTCTCTCTTTGGCAGATTGATTTTACCTGACAATGAGTAGTCCAAAAGCTCTCAACCATTTACCGGCTTAAAAACAAAGTTAGCATGATTAACAGGCATTTAGGCATTTGTAGCTGTTGAAGTCCATCTAGTACACACAAATATTGATAGGACCATTAGGCTTCAAATGTTTCCTTTTGGCCATTACAGTTTGTTGTATAAATGCATATTTAGGGAACTTTTTGAATTGCACATTTTTTTTTTTTTTAACAGACACTAATGTATAGCATTGAAATATGCACTTAGAAGTCTACACTTACCATTGTGAATGCTTTATGTACCTGCCATTAGTGTCAATGGGAGGTAAGCAAGAGTGTTGAAATGAGAATAGATTCCTTGGGGATGTTTAAGTTATAATCTATAGTGTCACTTGAGTTGTTTATCCCCCTCACTAACTCTCCAAAGACTTTTACATTATGAATTCATGATCTTAGAATCCTATTAAGAAAGCTAACCCCATTTCAGTTATAGAAGCAGTAAAACATCAAAAACCATTAACTTTTTTAAATGGCAGTTTAGGGTTGGTGAAACAGATGAGGGAGAAATTGAAGTTCTCTATCCATAGACCACACACAACACATTAGTAGCTTTGCAAGTTTCCCTGGACTGCCTTTGTGCCTCAAATCCTGTTCTGAGGAGACCATTTCAGTGAGAAAGATAGTTTAGACCCAATGTCCATTCACACCATGGCCTCTTTTTTTGTAACTGTAGCTAATTACCATATTTACTCAAATATAAAATGACCCTGAATATAAGAAAACCCATCAATAATTAGATTCTACATCTAGAAAAATTCTAAATGTTATAATTTCCCAGATATAGAATCCAATTATTAGAGGTTTGCCTTGAATCTGTCCTCCTCCCACTGCTGCAGCAGGGAAGATAAATCTGGGGGGGCAGGTGACCCCCCTGGCCTTCTGTCCCCCCAACATCTTCCCCTTGCAGCCCCTCACTCCCTTGTCAGGCCCTGCTTACCCTGCTAACCCTGCTCATCATTGGAACTGCGTGTTCTTGTCAAATGTCCTGGGATCCTCCAAAAATTTAAATACAGGTGACATGCAATAGAATCTGGTCCAGCTTCAACTCATGAACAGCATGGCCACACAAATCACACACAACAGGCTGAGAGAGGGGGCAACAGAAGGATTCTCAGTAAACTGTTAAAGGCTCTGTTTGGTCACATTTGCCAGATGTTTGAGACTGATGAAGAAACAGGAATCATTGGAAATGGACAAAAAAGGCACAGTTCAGCTGTGGGAGTGAAGAGGAAGTTAAAATGTATGCAATGTAGTGGCTCACCATGACTTGAAAAAGGGAGCCTACACTCAATGGGCACTACTATGTGTCTTATTCACGTGGGCTCCACTAACTTACCCTGGGATAGGTTCCCATCAGCATGTTTGCTCAATATGGTCCACATGTTCTGTAGTCATTCTCAGTGGTGGATGAATTTAATTATGTTAATATTTGGTTTCTATGACAGAGGACATACTGCTTTTGGCAGCAGTTTAATGATAGTGCATTTAATGAGTTTTCTTTTTATGCAAATATAAAATAAGGAGCTTCCCATCCTGACATGCTTATTGGCGAACAAAACCTTGTCTTATATTTAAGAAAATGTGGTATATTTCTATTAAGAAAGGGACTGAATTTGTCCAGCCACTGCATGTATGCTACTGAGCAGTCACAACACAGCACAACTTTATCACAGAGTCTGTGGACTGTATAACTATGAAACTTGGCTATGCTGCTAAAAGGGCAAAACATCTAAATGCAATGTTGGGAAACAGTGCTTCACAGCAGCTATCCCCACAAGTTTCCCAAACCTCATCTGTTAACTGGAGCACATGTACCTTTATGGTACAGTCCCTTAGCTTAACACATCTTTTGTTTCAGGAACATCTCTAACTGGGAAGCTAGCTCTTTGAGTCGCATCACCCTAAGACTTAACTAAGGAGAGTTAGTTTCAGGGGGGTAGGGTTTCTATGTAACAGTTCATTCTATTTTATTACTGGGTCTTTTCTAGAGGTATAAGGATTTTTCTTGTGGTTAGCAGATGTGTCTAATGCAGGGGTGGGCAAAATGTGGCCCAGGGGCCAGATGTGGCCCGCCAGGCCATTCTATCCAGCCTGCGGGGCCCCTAAAAAATTTAGAAAATTAGTATTTAACTGCCCCTGGCTGCCTATCATGTGGCCCTCAATGGTTTGTCAAAACTCAGTAAGCGGCCCTCTGCCCAAACTAAGTGCCCACCCCAGTCTAATGGAATATGTAGCTAATGCAGTCAACCTATATAGGAGAAATACCATTTAGAACTATCAGTTTATTTTCTTTCCAAAAGCCAAAGCTATTTTCACCTTAAAGACAACAGAAAACTGCATCTCTAATCCTGAATTACTTGCAAATATTAGGATCTTCTAGAGAACCAAGTGTTGTGGTACCTAGGCATCTCATCAAACCTTTTACAGGTTTGTTTTCACTACTTAGAGCAAGTTTCTGCTTTGTAAAGTGTAAAATATTCTTCGGTGATTAAATAAGACTTCTTATTTTTCTCTAACTTGACTTGCCTCGGCCAAGTTTGAAAAAGGAAGTTATCTTTCATGGTATAAAACAAAAATATCCTGTAGTTTATAGCTACCTGTCAAATTCTACATGAAAAAAGATTCTTGCTTAAATTAAATTTTCTTCAAATTAGTTCTCTTTCATTGCTCGCACACATAAGTTAGCCATTGCAAGTGTTATTGCCATTATTTGCTTTTAAAATAATGCACTCATTAGGTGGAATCATCTAGGAAAAATTATA